AGGTGACAGGTTATGTGCTGCACGTGTATGCCAGCACCCCTTAGTTCTGTCCACCTGACCTTTCTCCTACTGCCACCCACAGCCCTGCCCTCCGTGCTGTGCCTACTCCCCTCCTCCCCTACACCTCTCTCTGCCCCGCGTGCTCACTCGTTCTGCCCCCCACCCCCTCCTCCCCCTCCCCCTCCCTCTCCCCCTCCCCCTCCCCCTCCCTCTCCCCCTCCCCTCCCCCCCACCTGTTTCTCCAGGTTCGCGCGCAGCACGGGCGTCACCATCTCTCTTGGACCCTCTGCCGCCGCCACTGCCCCGTTCCCACCCCCTGCCGCGCCTGTTCCCCCGCTCTTCCCCCGCGCCCCCTTTCCGCCAGTCTCGCCCTTGCCGCCCGCCTTGCCCTTCTTTCCACTGCGCACGAACCACTTCTTCTTCACCCCCGCGGGGCCCGTGTACACGCCCCCCTGCCGCACCACCCCGTCCCCGCGCCCCCCCTGCTCCCCCGGCTCCCCGCCCCCCGCGCCACTGCCTTCTCCCTCCCCCGCAGCGCCTCCCGCGCCGACCCCGCCCGCGCCCTCGCCCACGAAGTCCCACGCGTCGAGCGCATCCACATGCGCGCGCGCGGGGGCGTGCGGGCCCGCCACGTCCTCCAGATCGACCAACCCCTCCGCGCCCCCCTCCCCCTCCTCCTCCTCGCTCTCCCCTTCATACTCCTCGTATTCCTCCTCTTCTTCCTCCTCCTCCTCTACCTCCTCCTCCTCATCCTCCTCCTGCCCTCCTGTCGCCCTCAAAGTCGCGCCATTCCCGGATCCGCCCTTCGCGGCAGCCAATGCGGACTTGACAGCGCGGACCCAGTCGCGGAACGCGCTGTCCACGTCTTCCCCCTCCGCCTCGTCGTACTCCCCCATGCGCGCAAGCCTCTGCGCCCCCAGCGCCACCAGATCCGCGTCCGCTGCGCGCGCCACCGCGTTGTAATACCGCCCGCCGCTGCTGCTGCCGCCGGCGCTGCACTCGCAACCCTCCCCCGCTCCCGCTCCGCCTGCGGATCCCTTCAAATTATCCCCCGCAATCCCCTCCTCCTTACAGCACACAGCGCCGCCTTCCCCGCACCGCCCGCTGCCGCTCCCCCCGTCGCCAACACCTCCGGCATCCGCGCTAGACGCACAGCACCCCGCGCGTTCCCCCTTTCCCCCTTGCCCTTCCCCGGCCTCCCCTCTTCCCGCTTCCCCCGCCTCCTCCGCCTCGTCGTACGCGGAGCTGCCGAGCCCGAAGACGGCGAAGCGCAGCGGCGCGAGGAGTGCGGCGCCGACGCGGAAGTCGGAGGCGCTCTCGTGCAGCCAGCGCAGGAAGAAGGCGGCGTGGTCGGGCGGCGAGCCGTGCTGCCACGTGGACGCGACGAGCAGCAGCACCCGCTCCTTTGGAAGGTCCTCGGGCTCGTACAGCACGGGGTCTTGCAGCTGGGGACGCGCGAGGGAAGGGGTACGGGGAGAGAAGAGGAGGAGAGGGGGAAGGGGGAAAGAAGGGATATGGAGAGCGATGGGAGAAGGGGGAGGAGGGGAGGGGGTGGTGGGAGAAGAGGGGAAAATTGGAAGAAGGGAGAAAGAGAGAAAAGGTAAGGGTGGAAAGGATGATGAAGGGGGCGGGTTGGGTTTGGAAGCGACCCACGCGGGATGGAGGACGGAGAGGGGGTGGGGGAGGCATGAAGCAGCAGTGCGAGAGAGGCGGGCCGCGGGAGTGGCGGGATGGCGGGTGTACCTGGCACGGGACGCCGTCGCGCGAGAGCTCGTCCACCAGTGCGCCCGCCAGTCGGCGCGCCGTGCCCGTCTGGCTGCAGTACACTACCAGCACGCCGCGCTCGCCCTCCCCGCCGCCGCTCTTTGCGGGCGACGCTTCGCCAACACTTGCTGCGACGATCGCAGTTTCATCGCCGCGCTCAGCGGCCGCACATCCGCCTTCCCTCGCATCCGTCGCATCCGCGTCTCCGACTGCACTTCCCGCGATCAACGGGGCTACCGTCTCGCCATCGTCGGACTTCCGCTGCTCGCGGCGCTGCCTCCGCTGGCGGTAATAGTAGGCGAGAGCCGCGGCCGCGAGCAATCCAGCCGCCGCAGCGCAGATGCTAATGGAGACAATCTGACGTGGCACGAGCGAACCGTGTGCCTCGGTCATGGTGTGACTACAGCGAGGCGTGTTTTGTACGGCAGTTCTCCAGAAGATTAGATTAGATCTGTGGAGACAGAAGAAACTGCTGTTGCAGTTCAGAAATGCAGGCTGCAGGTTTGGATTCCGTTCATTCAATGCATGTGCGTGGAGGCCTGGCTGCAAAGGGCTTAGGGGTTGGCGGCTGAATGGGACGTGCTGACAATTTTACGCGATTCTCTATAATCGATGGCGACTGAAGAGGTAATGGATAATTCTTAAACCTTCAATGTACACCCCCAATACACTTCCAACTTATAGAAACAGCCTAATAAGAAACAATTTGGATTATGTACAGGTTTATTCATGTAACCTTAGCAACTTTCCTATTCTCCACTTGATCAGTGATGGGGCATCGCATCTCTTGCCAGCTTATGGGCACCATGGGTACACCTGTGGTTCACAGTCCAACATCGTTGGGAAGATACAATGTTTTTTGTCAATGGGTGAAAGCATGACACAAGAAAATACTGGAAGAGAAAGGAGGATGCATGCAGAAGGGGATTAAATGCTGATACGAGCAGTGGAGCACTAACCTGCAACCCCCTTGGCCAGTATGACTCCCAGGTCATTCTTGGCTGTGGACAGGAAATACGCCCGAGAATCTCCCAGTGAAAGCTGACGTGGGACGAGGGAGCAAAGGGGCAAGCAGGCAGGTTAGAGCAGCAGAAAGAGACGAAGCGGACGAGGACAAGGGCGAGAGAGAATGGAAGAATGTGTGTGAGGGGGATGAGAGGGGGAAGGCGCACCACTTGAGCTCGAATGAGGTCACCGGGGCGATACGATGCCAGCAGATCCACCTTATCTATCTCCGTTGCTCTCACGTCCTGCTGCCTGCCACCCCCACCACCCACCCGCCATGTGCACATCCCAAAGCACACATGGCACACACCAGGCTTGAGAGAGAGTATAGCATTGATGATGTAACGGACACCTGGGCAAGAGAGCGCCCACCTGGGCAAGAGAGCGCCCACCCACCTGACGATGCCTGAGAACTTGTCAGTGACGGCATGCGCGCCCACACACACTATGTCCGCCATGGCCGCTCGCGGCGTCACCCTCGCCACCTGCTCGCCGCCACAGGGGAGGGGGAGGGATGGGGGGGCAGGGGAGTCGATGGGAGTGGGATACAGCAGAGGAGCCAGAACCAATGAAGGGAGGGAAAGGAGGAGGTGGAAGAGGGGGAGGAGGAAGGACGTGTGGGGATGTGTGAGTGAGAGAGGGAGAGAGAGGGTGTGTGTGGCTGTGCGAGGGGAGAGCGAGGGGGGAATGAGGGGGGAGGTAAGACGGAGGAGAACAAAAAGGGTCCCATGTGGGAGGATCAGTGCGTGTGGCGAGGGGACCAATTGCCCACTCCTGTAACCGCCCTCCACACCACATGGTCAACATCCCTCTCATCTTTCCTCCTCGTCAGCACCTCATGCGCTAGCAGCAACACTCTTCCCATCCCCCATTCCCCATTCCCCTCTAGATCCCCCCTCTCCCCCCCCCACCTTCGCAATGACTGTTGCGCCAACGCTGGGAATGGCAGTTTGCGTTCCCGCGCGCCGCACTGACACTGTCGGAAGCTGGGGGATGGGGCGGAAGAGGGGGGAGGGGTTGCTGGAAGTGGGGGAGGATGGTTGGGGAGAAGCATATCACGAGGGAAGAGGAACCGGGATGAGGTGGGGGGGGAAAGGCGGCGGAAAGCGGGTAGAGCGGGAGCAGGCGTCGGGGAAGAACGCAGGGCAGATGAGGCAGATGAGGCAGATGAGGCGATGAGGCGATGAGGCGATGCCAAGTGGACACTCACTGGTTCGCCGGGCGTGACGGCCATGGCGCCCGTTGTGCTGGCGTACACGAACGGGCCGCGCGCGTAAGTGCCGGGACCCACTGCGAGCTCCGACGCGAGCCCTAGACGATCGCCCGGCACTTTCACGTCCGGCGATGGCGCCATGGCGCGGGGGGGGAAGGGGCTCGAGGACGCCGCGACGGAGGTGCGCACAGGCGAAGCAACCGCGCGACAGACGGCGAGCAATTTGGGAACGCTCCGCGCGATTCGAGTAGAGGGAATGGCGGCGTAAGGATGGGTGGTGCGGTGGATAGGTGGTCGGTATGTGGGAAGCTGTAGTACCAAACGTGCTACTTGCGCAATTTCTGGGTGGGAGTACCATTCGGGTAATGAGCGTGGTTTTGGGTTCTAATTGCATCCCCGTTTGCGCATTAGGTCATCAATTTCCTCTGTACCGAGTACACGGTTGGATAAAAATCCCAACTATAAGAAACTCTGCTGCCTTGTCATGAATTTACGTTGGGTGAAGGTAGTGTTTCTTTGCATGCAGCTTGACATGCTCGCAACAACTTGAAAAGCCAAAATTCATGCCAGGACCAGGATGCCATGACATTGGTGGAATGCAAGTACCGTGATATCTCAAGCAGCACCGCACCGCTTCGATCCTCAAGCAACAATCAAAAGACTGCTCCGTGCAATCACACTTCGCTCATGGCACTCTCTGAACCAGCATTGCCTGCGTATGGCTCACAGATTAATATGTCGCCCAGCTCACAACAAGCGAATGCTACCCGCTGCTTCGGCGTGTATAGACCGCATTGGTAGGTAGCAGCCGTGTTCTTCACACGTTGCATTGCCACCATGCACCCAACCACCCTAGTTTCCAGTTCCGCCATGTCCCGCTGACAACCAGCCCTCCCTCAAGGCAAGCATGCCTCGCACACATGCTCAAGACTTTTGCCACTGTCAGTCGAAGCGCAAAGCATGCGACTGCTGCTGCTGCACGACCCCCTGGGCATGGAGGAACCAGCTAGCACACGAGTCATGGGCGCCCCCCCTGGGCTTGGGGCACGGTGGCTCCGTGCATGGAGGAGGATTGTGAGGCAGGTGCGGCGGCGGGCAGAGGCAGGGGCGTGAGGGCGTTGTTGAGCAGCAGAGCAATGGCGGCAAAGGAGAGCAGGTGTGGGGCAGGCGCTGTGGCGTGTAGAGTGAGTTGGTGGGCGTGGTGTTGCTGTGCGTCTCGCTCATGAGCTCGTCCAGCTGCACCTGCGATGGGCGAAAGGTGGGGCAGGCAGACATTGGGAGAGGGGGAAGAAGGGAGTAAAGAAGGGAGTAGCAGAGCGGGAGAGATGTGAAGGGGTCAACGTGTTGCCATGGGAGTTGGATGGAACGAGGGAACGGTGAAGGACATGGAGCGTCACTGTTTCCTGCCATGCACTTCCTTGCGTCCTTGCATGCTTACCTCTAAGATAGATTTCTCTGACGATTGTCCTTTGTCTTCCATCCCACTGCCACATCTTTCAAGGTCCCCCAGCGCTCTATACTTCCCAGGCACCTGCACCAGTCCCTGCATGTCACCCATAACCTGTTCCTGCTGCCGCTGTTGCAACTGCTGTTCCTATGCTGCTGTTGCTCATGCTGGCGCTGCTGCTGGCGGCGAATGTGTTGAGCGAGCAGCCCACACGCCACTCCTGCTGCCGACTCCCCACTCCTTACCTCCCCAGGACTGACTTTCGCCTCCGCCACTCTCCCCTGCAAATGGCAACCCCCCTCGCCAGCCCCCCATGCTCTGCTCCTCCCAGCACCACCCCAGCTCTTGCTCTTGCCCCATGGCACCGGTCCCCCACCACCCTCTCCTCGCCCCCCTGCCCCCCATCGCCCTGCCACCTCTGCCGTACGCACCGCCTCTGCTGCTCTCCCCCCTGATGCCAGCGACTGCACTCGAGGCAACGCCCTGCCGCTCGGTGTAGCTACTGTCAGGGACGCAGCAGCTGCAGGGGTAGAACGCGGTAAAAAGGGGATAGGGGGGTTGAGGGGGGGGAGAAGAAGGGTATGGGACGTAAGCAAACAATCCTATAAGCAAACAATTCTATAAGCAAACAATCCTGTAAACAAACAATCCTATAAGCAAACAATTCTATAAGAAAACAATTTTATAAGAAAATAAATTCTATAAGCAAACACTTCTTTAAACAAACATATCTATAAGCAAACAATTCTGGGTCTGGTGGGTTGGAGGGATCGTGGATCCATGGTAGGTAACATTTTCAGCAAGTCTCCCATAACTGGAAACGAAATAAGAGCGTTGTTTCACAAGCCTTTCCCGGAAATAGCATTTTGTGTTATAAAAAGCCTTTTCCCGGTAATTGAAATTTGTGTGCCAGGAACCATTACTCCTCTCACTACATGCACCACCATGTGTGCATTTGTGCAGGAAAGCACCAACACCTGCGCCCCCTGCGCCCCCAACACTGGCTTGCACAGCACAATGCCTTCCTCTTCTACCTTCTCCATCTCCATCTCCTCAAAGCCTGCACGCTCATGCGCTGCACCGCACGCTCATATGCTGCACCGCCCGCTCATACGCTGCACCACATGCTCATACGCTGCACCGCCCGCTCATACGCTGCACCGCCCGCTCATACGCTGCACCGCCCGCTCATACGCTGCACCGCTCGCTCATACGCTGCACCGCCCGCTCATACGCTGCACCGCCCGCTCATACGCTGCACAGCCCGCTCATACGCTGCTCCGCCCGCTCATACGCTGCACCGCCCGCTCATACGCTGCACCGCCCGCTCATACGCTGCACCGCACGCTCATACGCTGCACCGCCCGCTCATTCGCTTCACCGCCCGCTCATACGCTGCACCGCCTGCTCATACGCTGCACCACCCGCTCATACGCTGCACCGCCCGCTCATACGCTGCACCGCCCGCTCATACGCTGCACCGCCCGCTCATACGCTGCACCGCCCGCAGCTCCAGGCGCGCAGGAGAATCTGCAGCTCCAGGCGCAGGAGAATCTGCAGCTCCAGGCGCAGGAGAATCTGCAGCTCCAGGCCCGCAGGAGAATCTGCAGCTCCAGGCCCGCAGGAGAATCTGCAGCTCCAGGCGCGCAGGAGAATCTGCAGCTCCAAGCGCGCAGGAGAATCTGCAGCTCCAGGCGCGCAGGAGAATCTGCAGCTCCAGGCGCACAGGAGAATCTGCAGCTCCAGGCGCGCAGGAGAATCTGCAGCTCCAAGCGCGCAGGAGAATCTGCAGCTCCAGGCGCGCAGGAGAATCTGCAGCTCCAGGCGCACAGGAGAATCTGCAGCTCCAGGCGCGCAGGAGAATCTGCAGCTCCAGGCGCGCAGGAGAATCTGCAGCTCCAGGCGCGCAGGAGAATCTGCAGCTCCAGGCGCGCAGGAGAATCTGCAGCTCCAGGCTCGAAGGAGAATCTGCAGCTCCAGGCGCGCAGGAGAATCTGCAGCTCCAGGCGCGCAGGAGATTCTGCAGCTCCAGACGCAGGAGAATCTGCAGCTCCAGGCGCGCAGGAGAATCTGCTGCTCCAGATGCAGGAGAATCTGCAGCTCCAGACGCAGGAGAATCGCACAAGAGACAGCACAAGGCACTGTGGGAAACAGGTAGACAAAAGAGAATCGCACAAGAGAAAGCACGTTTGATGGAAAAATAGCATACTAGCTGATTGGCTCACGACTCCTTGGAAGAGAAAGCAGCTTGTGCTCCGTGTCTCCATTGCTCCGGCTTGTAGGCCGTGAGGCACACACACGCATGGGGAGAGAGACACGCACACAGAAGCAGCACCAACAAGGGAGGGTTAGAAACAGCACGAGGCGAGTGGCGGAGGTAAAAGCAAGAGACACAACTCTTGCCTCTGCGCGGCGACGCTCATACGCTGCACCGCACGCTCATACGCTGCACCGCACGCTCATACGCTGCACCACCCGCTCATACGTTGCAGGAGAATCTGCAGCTCCAGGCGCGCAGGAGAATCTGCAGCTCCGACTCTGCAGGGAAGAGGGATGGTGTGCGCGTTGAATAGAGGGTAGATTCACACATGACGCCAAGACAAAAGCGGCGAGACTCTTTAGGCGTTACTATCCTGGACGCCTACAGGAATCCCCCCCACAGTCTTCGCTCTCACGTACCGTTGGTCTTGTCCCTGATCGCCTGCGATCTTGAAGCGAACGCCTCGTACGACTTTCAAAAGAACGCCGGAGAGCTTGCAACGACGTCAGACGATTTTTTAAACGACGTCAGACGATTCTTGGAACGACGATAGGCAATTCTTGAAACGACGTCATGCGATTCTTGAAACGACGCCAGGCGATTCGTCCGACGCTGCAGCCTCCGATCCCGCGCCTCCGATTTAGTCACAAACATGCAGCGGGAAGAACGAGGAGGACAGCGGGAGAGGAAGGGTACACGCGTTTGTGGGAGGGTTATTTCACACATGACGCGGACGGGCAAAGCGGCGAGACTCTCTAGGCGTTCCTATTCTAGACGCTTACAGGAATCCCCCTCACAGCCTTCGCTCTCAAGTACCGTTTATCGTCGCCTGATCGCCAACGATCTCCAAGCGAACATCCGATCTCCAAAGGCATGCCTGCGAGCTTCAAACGACGCCTGGCGATTCTTGAAGTGTTTGGCCAGACGCTTCGGCGATGAAGACGACTTGAATCCCGCGCCTCCGAGTTAACCGCACGCATGCAGAGGGGAGAACGAGGAGGACGGGGGGAGAGGGACGGTACACGGGTTAGTGGAAGGTTAACTTAACACATGACGCGAACGGGGAAAGCGACGAGACTCTCTAGGCGTTTCCATCCTAGACGCTTACATAATTTCCCCCACCAGCCGCCGCTATTACGTACCGTTATACGATCCTCGTTGTCCCTTGACCTGCGTCACTCTGCTTGAAAAGCTGGTCGGCGAACGCTACAGCTGCCGTTTGCGAAGAGCTGCGAACGCTGATTTCCGCCACTGATTCGTATTCCAAAAAACGCTGCGTTGTTCCCTGCCGGCAATCTTGAGAAACATTGGTTTCAGATTGCCAGCTTCAACGGTGGAGCCAATAGTCTGTCACTGGGACTGGGGTTGGCGCGAACAAAAGACTCGCTGGAACAACCGCTTCCGTCGTACGAGCCTCTCATGATTCGGAAGGCTATTTTCGGATAATATACATGTCAGATGTAGCGCCATCTCGTCTTGTCGCCGCGTCACTTCCCTCTAGAGTTTCGCACGTCGCTGGAGGGCAAACAGAGACCAGCCATGTGTAAAGCTACGGTCTTCTGCCGTGGGACGCATCCGTCACGAAGCCTTTCGCGAAGAAGCCTTGCCGGGTGTCACAACCGCCGTACTTCACCGAGCGACCGTGTATCAGGGAGAAATCATTCTCATAGTGAACTGTATCAACGCTGAGCCTAGCTGAGTCTACGTTACCACGAGCAGCAGTTAGGGCGTCTCTTCGGGAAGTCACCCCTCGCTAAATGATAGGAGCTAAATGTCTAACATTGTCGCAACGCACCGGAAGCTGATTAATGCAAAAGCTGAGCCGTGGATTTGTAATAGAGAGAACCAATACAGGGGCCATTGGCTAAAGACAAGTTAAAGTACTCGACTACTCGACATATCCTCCATGACTAGTTAATTGGTCTAATCAGATCGAATTGTAGCCTTTACCGTAACCGTAGCCGCAGATCATGGCTAAGAGGAGAAGCAGGTGTGGAGTTGCGAGGAGAAGCAGCAGGTGGAGTGGTTTGCATTGTATGGCATGAACGACCAGTGAGGACAGCATGGCATGGCATAGCATAACCCAAGAGAATGGTGTGGGTCCGCGCTTCGTTGGCGGGAGGAATTCTGATATGCTGGTTGAGCCGAAGTTGCGCGCCAAAGGTCTGACAAAGCCACTCATTTGAAATCTATCGGCGGTTTCTCGCTGTAACGTCTCCTGATACGCTATCGTACGCTTTCACAATATGGTGGCTTCTACACGATTCGTGAAAAAAATACATACATACATCAAAACACCCATACATACATTTCATGAAGTCAATCTCAGTAATTGAATGGAAGTCATGCATACACTTGAGTCCTTGTATGGGATCCAGGGGGCAAGATGTATGGGATGGAAAAAGCAGTTGCATATTCCCAACAAGAACATAAAGCTGCCAAGCCATTAAAGCTCCGGTATACATTTGAAAGGAGGGGTTCAAAATCCTTAGGAACTTGAAAAGTTGCCCCAAACCTGTGAGGCATACTATACAAACCGTAGACCCCACTGACAAATGTATAGTGGAGCTTTAAGGGATGGTATGTCCGAAAGACCTCTTACAATCATGCCCCAAAGTCATCCTCCCACCTCTCCACCACCCTTTTCCTCGTTCTCACATACCCGTGTTGCTTGCTTGCACTGCTGCACTCACTTCAAGTTGGCACCGAACACAGCATGGTGTAGAACCCAGCATAGCACAGTACAGAGCATGTCACAGCACAGGCCATCGCACAAGACACATAATGGCGCATCACAGAGCATGGCAAAGCAGAGAGCACGGAAAAGCACAGAGCATGGCAAAGCACAGAGCATGGCAAAGCACAGAGCATGGCAAAGCACAGAGCATGGCACAGCAAAGAGCATGGCACAGCACACAGCATGGCATAGCACAGAGCATGGGCACAGAGCATGGCAGAGCACAGAGCATGGGCACAGAGCATGGTACAGCACAGAGCATGGCATGCCTGAAACATGAGCATCTTGCTCTCATGCAACAGGTGGCATCAGCCCCACATGGCTCATCATGTGCCACCAAACATGAGCATCTTGCTCTCATGAGAAAGAGAGATCTGACCAAGGAAAGATACAGAGAGGACACAAGGGGAGGAAAACAGAGTCGAGGCAGTGGAGGATAGAGGAGGATGAAAAAAGAGAGAGGCGATAGAGGGAGGAAAACAGAGAGAAGAAAACAGAGAGAGAGGTAGCAGGGGAGGACACAGAGGTAGAAAAACACGAGGGAGGGAACAGAGGGAGAGAACTGAGGGAGGGAACTGAGGGAGGGAACTGAGGGAAGGAACTGAGGGAAGGAACTGAGGAAAGGAACTGAGGGAAGGTAGAGAGGGAAGGTAGATTGGGAAGGTAGAGGGGCAAAGTAGAGAGAGAAGCAAGCACCCCAACTTCACCTGCCAGCAGTAGGAGCAGCAGACAGCCCACCCCCTTTCGGAAACACCATCCGCAGAAGTTGTGCTTTGTCGGGCGAGGTGTGGCAGTGAAAAATCGCTTCCATCCCAAGACTCAAATCCCGCCCCTGACGTAGCTAGAGCTGACGCGAACCAGAGCCGCCGGCCGGTCGGCTCTGACGGTGTCCATTAAGCCTTAAACGCCAGATTGGGAACCTGAGCACCGAGTGCCGTGCCGCGGAGATTCCACCCACCACACCCCACCCCACAAGGCACAGCTCCTGAGAATGCTGCCCCTCAGGAATTGAACTCCCGGCTTGCTCCCATGCTTCCCCCCACCCACCCCATACTTCACCCCCATGCCTGCGTACCTGTACATACCAGAGCCATGCAGAGCGCCATGATGCTGAGGCTGCTGGGAAGTGGGGAGGGGGGGATTAGGGGAGGGCGAGACTCCACTGTGGTCCAGGCAGGGTGCTGCTGGGAGGGAAGGGAGAAGGGAGAGAGGAGGAGGTGAGTGAAAAGGTGGACTCCACTCTCCCACCCTAGCTCCAGTGCTCCCACCCTCAGGCTGCAAGGGAGAGGGGGAAGAGAGAGAAATAGGAGGGGATCAGAATACCATACCTCACCTGTTACATACCTCACCTGTTACCGTACCACACCTGATACCACACCTCCCGACAGCTTCACCTAGCCTAGACTGCCCTCTAGCCCCCCAGCCCGCACTGCTGCTACTGCTGCTGCCTTGGCCGCTTCTGCTGCTGCAACTGCTGCTGCCGATCTGCTACTCTGCTTCGCTGCTTCTGCTGCTGTAGTCTTCTCTTGATGCCAAGTGACCTGGTGGTGGGCAGAAATGGGAGGTGAGGGACACGAGGGGAGGGGCAGGAGGAACTGGTGAGTTGGCGTGAACAGAAACAGAAGAGCACTAGAGTGGAAAAAAACGAGAATGCAGAAATGAAGGGAGAGCTACTGCAGCAAGTGAACTTGAGAAGGGGAGAGGTGAGCTAAGGCGTGAGGTAACGCACCTTGAGGGGCCAAACCCATCCCGATACTCTCCCTTGCAGCACCATTTCAGCTCGCTGCAGTGCTGCCTCCTCCCCATCCCCGTGGGTAGCTGCAGGGACACCAGGGGAGGGGCGTGCAGGAGTGGCGCTGTTGACACCCACGCCCCTCCCCTCCACCTGCAATGGCCCACGGAGAAAGAGTGAGTGACTGGTGGAGAGGCGGAGGGGTGAAGGAGGAGGGCGGATGAACAAGCAGCGAACAGAAAAGAAGGGGAGGGGGCCACTGGTCCTGCCTCAGCTACAAGCCACAGAAAAAAGGGGGGTATACCTAAGGAGGCTTTACCTGAGAGTATACCTGCTGTACCTGGGGGGGTTTACCCAAAAAAACGTGGCTGTGGTTTGAAGATTTGGCTGATCCAGAGGCCTGTGTTTGAAGGGAGAAGAAAGAGAGAAATTGCAGCAAGGATCAAAATGGAAAGCAACAAACTCAAGGGAGGGCTGAGAGAGGAATAGCAGGGCAGGGACTTAGCTGTGTGAAGGTTGGGTGGGGAGAAGCTGCTGCCTGTGCACTCCATGTCCCCCGCCACTGCCACTCCCGTGTGAGCGACCAGCTGGGAGGAGAGGGTTGCAGAGTGGGACAGAGAGAGGAAGGGAGGAGGGGACGGAGGTGTGGGGGAAGTGGACGGAGGTGTGAAGGGGGAGCAGAGGAGTGGGAAGGGAAATGAGGAAAGAAACATGGACGAGTGAGTAAAGCGAGAGCCAAGACTGGAGAGTGTGAACGAACGATGTGCAGTGGAGTGGATGGATTGCTGCAGCAGTGGCACACCCAAGAGACCTCGTACCAGCTGAACCACACTGAATCTAATACCTGAGGCTTTACCAGAG